CTTCCTACTTAGAACGTAGACATCATTAATTCTTTATTTTATTCCCTATTCAGTTTCCTTATTCTATCCTTACACTGTTTATAAACCTGTCCATCAAAACTTAATAATTAATGTATTTTATTCCCTATACAGTTGAACTTCAAACACCTATCTTACTTCATTTTTATCTTATATTAATTGGTCTGGTTAAACATGTTGAATTTTTTAAAAAAATGCGTTTACCCATTTGCTGAAGATTTCCACTAAATCTGTCCACCAGATAGATTTCTTTTGATTGCTGTTTTCTTCCAAAGCGTCGATCCTGGGTCACGAACACCAAATCGTATGTTGTTGTTCTTGGTGTTTAACGTCTGCTTCCACCGAAGGTGATATCGCAGACAAGTCTTATTTTTCATTTTTATTATCTTAGCGCACGCGCAGGGATCTTTCCTGCGGGAGGAAACCGGAGTACCCGGAGTAAACGCCCCTATCTCCAAGCCACATACGCTCACACCAGGGATCGAAACAACAAACACAAGCCAGAGGTGACCGGCCAGCTAGAGGTCGAAGCGCGATTTTAATCTACCAGATACATGTTTGTTAACCTGGTTCTCGTTGTCACTGGTACTAGCTAACGACTTCAATACATTAACCAGAGCATCTTTTACAGAACTTAGGTAACCTCTGCAGTATAATATAGACCCTATAGTATTACAACAATCCATTACTGTCATTGTTATTATATGTTAAAGACATAAAAACTAATAATTAGCTTTTTAACGCGATAGGGGCTACAATTTTTTTATTCAAATTTGGTGTAAAGCATTGGGATTAACAAAGGACAAACCCTGTCGATTTTCAGCACTCCGCGACCTTTCGATCTAGAGCTATTCCCCCTTTAAGAAAACCTTGCTAACGCGACCGAGACAACAGGTTTTAACGGATAATCCTTAAATTTGGTTTGAAGACAATCATTGGGGTTCATGGGATGACGAACCCTATATTCAGCGCTCTGCGACCTTCCGTTCCGGGGTTACACCCCTTTCAGAAAACTTCTTTAATTTGGTGTGAAGCATTGTATCATGAGAGGACCGACCCCATCGATTTTCAGCTCTCCGTAACCGTTCAGGCAAAGATTTTTATTAATTTTTGTGAACAGCCCAAATTTATTTTTTAATAGGTTTCTGTGTATCGGTATGGCTTTTTAAGGCACACCGGCTGTGTGAGCGTATTTCCACGCTTTGCATGCATATCTTGATTATCATTCGTACAATATAGCAAACATGTATCCTCAAGACGCATTAAAGGACTGCCATAAGTAAATTTAGATTTAGTGCACAACTTTTATATTCAATTAACATAATGCCAACACTATTGTTTTATCTTCCATTTTATGACAATTTGCAGCAACAATATCTCTCTCCATTATCACATTACTCATTCAAATCAATTTAAATTTGTAATAAAAAACATGTAATTTGTTGTTCTGGCTGTCAAATGAAAGTATCGACCATCCATATTTAAATCAATTAAATTACTTTGAACCTAATGGTTTTATATGCATTAAAATATATAATTGATATTTAGGAAGGCTTCGAGAAACTGAGATATTTACACGCAAATGGCTTCGGCCAAACAAGTGTGGAATATGAACAAAGTTGTACCTGTCGATTGATTTAGTATCGATTTCCACTCCAGCCATTCATAACTTTTAATTAAAAAGACCGAAACGGAAAATTCTTCTCAATTGACTAAAAATAAAATCTCTTCTACATGTTTATGTTAAATTGTCAATATATCGTTAAATGGTTTTTATGCTCCTTACTCTAAAGTAGTTTATTTCAATAATTCAGTGCTACGGCTCGTCTTTGTTTCTTTATCGATTTGTTTCTCTCTGATATTTCGACGTGTAGAATACACAAAGCGTTGAACGTTTGTAATAGATTGATTGAAATAAATAAATAATTTAAGATAATCACACCAGAGCACCACATTCTGGGATCAGATCAGACATTTTATTCACTATAAAATTGTAACCTATCCAATGAATTTAGGTTTCGGTTTTTGCTTAATTTCATTACTTTTATTTCATGATATTGTGATTGTTGGCTGATACAGAAATAGATCAAGAAGCGCTCTGCGGAAAGCAGGATTTGATTATAACCAAACCAACTGGTTGTAAAACAATTAATTAGGCCTACAGTTGCCGAGGAATAACGAGTCGGTTGTTAAATAGCACATACGGTCTCTATATAATATGGTTATAAAGAAATTAATCACAGAAGCATGGCATGGGGCGTCATTGCAGTTACCTAAAAAATCAAAAGGCTCATATAATAGGAATTGTTCATAGCTTCTGAATAATGAATAATGGTATTGCATGTATTGGCAAGTTGTGTGGTATAATAGCCGTAAGTCTATATAACGAAACCATATAATATACCCGATGACAACTTTAATGATCCTGGATGTATCGCTATAAGGAAGCTATTTCTCGGATAATCAGTGTCGAGCTCGCGGGCAATTTAGATATAAAGAGAACACTGCCAACGGCCTATAAGGGATTGTACACCTAGCTGGTTTAAGACAGAAAATAACAACCTTTCGATCAGATTGAGGAAAACAAGTGTGTGTTTTCTCTTCCCGCAAAGAGGAAGTTAATCAGCACTTGATGAAGTATTCTTACCGGCTTTGATAGATGAAATAAGCCAACACATTTTAATGAAAAACATTTGATTATTTATGTTTGAAAGACCCTTAGAAACGTTTATTCTCAGTTTTGTTTTGATTGGCGACAAATTTCGATCTGCTGACTGAATCAGTGTCTGAATAACCTCGTCCTTTAACTTACCATAGTTTCGTTCTATTTATGAGGACACTTGTTAGGCAGATAAGTAATTTAGACCAACATTTCCAAGACATAATATTTTGAGCTGAAGAGCTGAAACTTTCAGATACGGTAAATGCACGTTTTTTTTTTTTTCGTTTTTTTTTACATTTTCATGTTTATTCAAACGTATGTTATGTTTAAACTCACGTATATTACACAATATCGGGATTACCCCTTCAATATTTCTGTCACGTTCAAAGTCATTTGTTGTAATAATGTACGTCGTTTTGCCCCCTCTGCCCTATAGGCTGTACGTAGGGAATTCTTGGAAGTTATAGGATTAGATAACGGGGATAAGAGTTATTATAAACTTTACATGAAGCAGACGAAGAGGTCTATCGACTTCTAAAGTTATTGACATAGATCACGTTCTGGATTTTGTAAACGCCACGGCTGCGAAAGTTTGTCATTCCCATCCAAGGACTTTCCTTTATTATTAACCAATCAGATCACTTGAAACGTATTTATTGCAGTTCGTTACGATATTATCTATATTCAGTAATAAATGCAAACTGGACTTACTATTAAAATGATTTATATTCATGTTTTCCGGTCTTAGAAACCTGAAATGTACAATTCTGTATCCAAGGAAATGAAATGAAATGGGGTTTAACGTCCTACTTTTCTGAACCGACTGGGCTAATGAAACCGGGCATGTGCCATACAGTGTACTATGGGGGAAATTTTACTCGGACAGCGGCGCTATGGTCTACTCTTATTTCGAATTCCAACTGGGGGGAGGGGGCTTGAACGATTAACGCGTGCGCATTGCATCATAAGGTCTGTCATTGAGTCATGTGGCGTGGTTTCGATTCCTCGCTCGTACGTGACAAGGAGTAGTAGGGTTGCCTGTCCGTACTCGAGGGTTTTCCCCGGGTTATCCGGTTTCACCCCCTACTAAACCCCCTACGCGCAAGCGAATTAATGAAATATAATTGAACCATGTGTTAGTCTCGAAATGAGCTATAGTTTGTGTCAAGAGGACGTTAAATTCATCTCTCTCTCTCTCTCTCTCTCTCTCTCTCTCTCTCTCTCTCTTATTGACAAACCCTTAAAATAAGAATAGCCCAATACTGTGTGTTTATTTATCCCCCTTCTCCCTTCTTTGCACGTATAACAATAAGTGTGATTTGATTCAGATATATCAGGAACAAAAAAATAAATGATACTAGGGACATGTTACAACGTGACGTGGTCAAGCATCAATTAGCAGTACGGCCGGAATGAGATGTGTGTAAGTCTTGGTTTTATTCAGGGACTTCTGATGCTCTCCATATCATCTACTGAGACAGAGTGGAGATCTACGGGTCCTGGGACAGACTCAGGAGGCTCAGCAACTATGGCCTGATCTGGAGTTGTTCATTTGAGGGCCGTATTACTTGCTGCTTTCCCACGGGAAGTCCTAGCATTTCTCTGATGAAACACAGGAAGCAGCTGTAGTACTATATTTGAATTTCTTGAGGCGTTGAACGGGGATGGGGAATGGCAACTTCTTCTTACTAAGGGTTTAACGTCCGCTTCCACCTAGGGTGATGTCGCAGTCAAGGGAATGGCAAGAACGCGCTGGTTTTTTTATAGCCCTAGAGAGCTGACGGGATTGCACACGCAATAAGTGCACGTTCAAACACACTAAGAACGAGAGGAAGACATGTTGAACTGTCTCTGAACGGGGTGGTCGGGTTACCAACTAGTTAGACGTATTGGAAACGAGGTAGAACTAGTTACAAACGGGTTTGAACTGACTATACGGGCGAGCTTGGTACAGACGGTGTATTGAGGACTTTTATACACGAACTAGGATGGTCTCTCTTCATTAGCCCAGTTTAGGAGCAGAACAGTAGGACGTTAAACCCCATTTCATTTCTTTTCATTTCATAGACCATAACCAGTTTTACGATTTTCTAGGACGGGGTTAGGCGTTAACCCCCTCCCCCCCTCTCTCTCTCTCTCTCTCCCTCACACACACGTCTCACCCACTAGCTGAGCCACTCTGGGTCCCAGTCAATTCCCATGTGTTCAAATAATCGTCCACGATGATATACATTCTCTTGATGAAAACAAATTCAAACACCCTTTTTATTCAGAGTTGGATAAAAACCAGTAGTCCACTCGACATATCAGAATAGAGCTATTGGTAGAGCGAGGAAAATCCATATTATGTCTCGCTGTACAATATGTAAACACACAGCCGTCAAAAATCTACAGTTGTGATAACAGCATACCTGAGAGAATTGACACCATTCACAGATATGTGCCATATATATGTATTACCATCTATTTACATATATAGAGTATAATTTAGTGAAGAATAGGATGAGAATACGTTGCACTGTCAGAGATTGGACTGCTAACAAGACGGCTGTATGAGGTAAGATGCTAAAGTTTATACATTAACATTTGTTAGGGAACATTAATTGTGGCCTGTCACCGTATACGTGTGTAGTAAAATCGTTTCTTTTCAATATAATCATGTATTTAGTATTGCTAGAGAATTAGCCCGAGGCAATTAGTGTTTCGCTTGGATTTATCGGTTCTAAATGTTATCTGTAAAGATGGACCGTAGATGACAGTTTGTATTTAGATTGAACGTAGGTAATATGCAAGATTCTCTCCCTTAATTAAGGATAACTTTTATATGATGGCTATATTCATTGTAATTATTAAGGTCTTGGTTATAAATATTATGACAAATACGCCCATATTCACTTTCAATGGCATTATTTTAGAACAAACTTAAGTTTTTGGCGTTTCTGGACGTACACTTTTTTCTTCAATCAGTCAACCAAATTCACAACAGTTTTAGTTATTCACTATTTCCTTACAGCTACACTACCATGCTTGGGCTTCAGCATCATTAGCGTTTTCAGTGTTAGACTTTCAATATCTGAAGGATGTGTTGCCGCTGGGAATAACATGATTTATGTGTTTGGAATACGGTCTGTTTGGTAAGTATTTTAATTAAAATATAATATCTGTCAACGTTGATGTTTATAAGCGAAGAGGAATGGTAGAATTTATCATTAACTTCTATTCAATTTTTAAATATGAATATCTAGATATAGTGGAGTGTGAATTAGACATTGACAAAACTGTGCCATATTTTTGTGTTTTGTGTATGGAATAGGTGTTTCATGTGGAATAATAGAGGATGGATAAAAACAAATTGTTGTATCCCTCCATACACTGTGGCCAGTTTTTGTATGATATCAGGTGTTGTGCAAAAGACAGGGTATGCTAATCTCATCTGATGTAGATTTAACAGCTTAGAATGTACTTTGTACATTTTGTGCTTTTAAGTCTATGTTTCAAAAATTTGGTAAGTTATATTAGGTGTTATACAAAGAGTGTGGGCCTTTTTTATTCTACATTGGATTAGTCTACCGCCCTGGCAAAATTCGTTTGCGATGTTAACATATTGAAAAAAGAAAACATTAATTCATGATTTCATGTTCAGTTAAGAATGGATGATATATAAGCTGTGTATATTAAGAAAGTATACGTGTATACCATAGTAACGTGGTAATTATTATAAATATAACATAACTAATCTTTTCTAAAATCTAATTTAAAAAAAATATATAACGTGTGGTATCTTTTAGTGCAATGGTGGCATTTAATGTTAAAAGAGCGGTTTTACGAACCCAACTCGCACTTCATAAACTTTTGAATGTAAGATCTGCTTGGTCGAATAAGGTGTCGTGAAATTTGAAATGTAATCCCGAACGAATGCGTTATTAATTAGACATATTGCTTTTGACAATATATGAATGAGAATCAGGCAATTAAAAATATTACATTGGATAAATGAATAAGTAATATACCGTCAGTAATATTGATGTACTTTTATGAATAAAAACACCAATCAGTTATAATGACTCTGACATTTATTATTGTACGTGTGTGCATTGTTGGTAAATGATATTTAAATATTCGATCACTAATCGAAATATTCACCTGTTGTATTGCTTTGATGCATTTTCTGTCTAGTCGATCGGATGGGACGAAAAACCGAGGTCCCGTGTACATATTGACGTGCACGTAAAAGATCCCTTGGCAGTTGGAATTTGATATAAGAGTAGGCCGTAGCGCCGCTGCCCGGGCAAAATTTCCCTTATAGCACACTGTATGGCGTATGCCCGCCTTCATTAGCCCAGTTTAGGAGCAGAATAGTAGGACGTTAAACCCCATTTCATTTCATTTCATTTTTGATGCATGTTTTAGAAACTGTGAGTCTTACATATCCATTTGTTTTCTTTATCTGTTCAGTATTGAATGTTTGCGCGATTATTTGTCATGTGTTCTTTTCCTGTATTAAAGTCCACCAAGTAGCTTTAACCGTTAGGCAATTATTGTATTGATGTAAATAAAGGTAGCTTAGTAATATTATGACTCAATCTTTCATGTTTACTCAAGTAATATTAAAGGTTCTATCAAGGAGATATTTGAACATATTTTAGGACAGATATTTTCACGAAACATTCTAAAATGACTCTTTGCGAGAGATAGAACCCGTGTAGTAGAACATGCAGATATATACGCAGTGATGGGTGTCTGCAATTAATTGATGATTTTCCATAGTGTCGAGAACCGAACTTATTACAGGTGCCACTAAATTACTCTGGCGCTGTATTTTACATGGCTTTTTTAACTCTTATAAATGTGCCGTAGATTTGGGCTGATATCTGTTCTAAGAAATTTTTTCTTTTAATTAAGAACACTTTGACTAAATCGGGATCTTCTGCGGTCTGTACATTATTAAAAGAACGTGATTTGACGCCACTTTCTATCACACCAGACATGTTTAAATTAGATTGCAAAATCTCGTTGACCCCATCACTTATTTAGATTAAAGTGTTTGCAATTGATAATCTAGACTAGTGGTTGATGCAATCCTAAACATTACATATCATTTCTCGTCATCTTCCACAATTCTTAGATTCACATTTTACGAACGCAGTCCTGGATTGAACAATGTTCATTGTGTCAAAATGTGAAAAGAGCTGCTTCATTGTTCGGTAGACTGCAGCGAGAAGTTCAACTATAGCAAGATGGCTTAGTTCAACAGGGCAGATTGTGATAAATCAAACGAAATACTGTGAGTCATATGGTCAGTCCCTAATCTCCATGGCGGACACAATGATCGGTATAACTATCACATAATATTCATCATGGGACCATATTTCTATCTCACCACCTTTCTCCTTTGCTGACCCCTTTCTCGATAACCAGCTGTGATATGGATTATGTGAGACATTGGTTGTAGTAAACATCTGCTGTTAAAATATAATTGAAATGTATGAGTAGTTATAGTGAAAGGTTTTATTATTGATTATAACATACCATTGTTGTTTTTATAGTCATTATGAAATATTGCTGACTGTTTACTTTAACTAATCAACTAACTACTTTTCATGTTAAATTCTTTAAAGGCGTACGACTATTCTTTGCAACCTTAAAATAGACGAACATGGGTATTGAATTTTATAAATCGTGTTTTTAATTTGAAATATTATGGAAAATATTGAGTTAGAGGTTTAACACCTTAAAAGAGGCGTCCCAGATATGTTAGTGAATAAAACTAGTTAATTTGGGGTGAAGGACTAATGAAAATCGATATACCTATTTGCAACTATGTGAAGCTAACGATGCTTTTTCAAAGAAACACAGACTTTCAGTCTCCACCCGAGGTTGACCATAAGTTCCCACGATGTGTAAATACCTAGATACTTGCCGAGGAAACATTTCTAAAAAAAAGTCGTCGCATTTATCCAATTACTCCATACAATTTAAGAATGAAGTTCCCTAAATTGGTTATATTTCCAAATGGCTCAATGTGTCGTTAGCTTTTGGAATCGATTTAGATATTTAAAGCCTCTTTGAAATCTAGGACGTCTCATTTAAAGCGACGTTGCTTCACTTTCATATCATGATGAGTAATTGTAGTCGAGCTATCTGCTTTCTATTCCCAATTCGTATACACTATCAATGGAGCCTGTAATTTTAATGTTTCTTTTGGCATAGTTATAATGACCCTTAACGCATTTTACCTCGGTACAAATCCCGGAGGAAGTGTTCCATTTTCCCCAACATTATTATCCCAGGGGTAAGCTAATAAAAAAGATTATCTTGTTATTCGAATCTACAAAACCCAGCGTATTTATCTTGTACGTAAGACAGTTGGGTACCTGAAATTCACAGACGAATCCCATAGAGGATAGTCCGCGTTTAAAACCTATACATCCCGATGACCAAGCCTGTGAAAGCGCCTGTCTTAGAAATGGTTAAACGTGGCTTATTTAATAATACAATACGATACAAAGCCACCGTCCTTGTCCTAAGAGTATGCCTTAGTTCCTTGCGCTTCAGTTAAAAGTATGAATTAATAAAAGATTGATTTTTCTTCAGGTAAGTTTTTCTTGCTGACCATCCTCTACGGCTATATATCACCCTTTCCTGTCAACAATACATATTAGCTAATGAGCTGTGTAAGTTAATGTCTTACAGCAATATTAACCAAACATTATGATTTTACTTTTTATAATGAAGCTTATTAGAATGAAGAATAATATATTAATATCAGTATTAACGTTGAATCAACTAATACCTACAGGTTTCTAGGAGGAGATAACGTGGACCTAGTCAAAGGCGCAATAATTTCATTAAACAGTTTCGATGCCACAGAACTGAAAAACAGATTTTGGGATCTTTATGATCTTTAAGAGACTTTTAAGGTGGATGATTCCTGTTAGTTATAAGCCCCTACCTCCTTAAACATTTCCTTTGATTTTGATACCGAAGTATGCTACCTTCAATTTGTTTATTCCAAAATTTCCATGCTCAAGCTTTGGGCCAAAACATATGCCGTAGAAAGCGTTCAACCTAAGACAAATATTGGGAAGAGTTGGAGCTGGACAAAGAGATTATAATTAAGTTAAGGTCACTGTTATCTTAGATTTGCGTCCATCCCGACTGCGAAAAATAAATTTGTTTCAATAAATTGACGAGTAGAGGTACACATAGTTATCATCTAGAGAAATTTTGAACTTTATTTAGATAGATTGCACGTCAGCAACCTGTAACCATTGGTTTGGCGAAGATCGTTGCTATTTGAAAACTTTCTAAATCAACCAATGCCTCATACATCTATATTTCAACACAACATTCTTCAACCTCAAACAATTTAATGTCTTCAATTACCTCTAGTGCAGATCTGAACATGACAGATGCCCATATTGAATTATACTCCCATTTAATCGATTCTATCTTTTTACTTTGGTTGGAGAAACCAATTATATCCTCTACTTATTGGCAGTAGACTATCTATCATTAAATGCAATCTGACCTAAATGTACGCTGGCCGTTTGTCATCATCTTATGTATAAAGAAGTGTTTGTTTGCTGCTATTTTATATCAGGTCCAATTACGTAGAAAGAAAAGCGATGACAATTGTTTTATATACTTCACACATTATAGATCATACTAAAAAATGCAGATACAAATAATAAAATTGTACGAGACACAACATGCAAGTTAGAATTCGTAATTATTACCTGTTATAATATTAGCAATATTTAAATATGTTCTGATACAAAAGATTTCGTATAACAGTGAGAGCAAGGAATTTTACTTATTTATTTATTCAGCAACATAACTATAGTGCGTTGGGAATTCTTTATTTATGATGGCCGAGGCATTCCATAAAATTAATTGCAAATCTAATTGAATGTGTTACAATAATTACATTTTTTTATATGTTAATATAATCAGTGGTATTGTAAATCCAGTTTTTTTTGCCAATAGTAAAGCATGGCATTGAACCACATCACATTTTGATTTGTCGGTTATTAGTATAAGGTTCGGTGTACAATGAATGTTAAAACAACCCGCAAAATCTCAATTTGTTACCATGATCTAGCCCTTGGTAACAGAGTCTAAATTATCTAAT